AGGTAAGAGTGTGAGATGCTTTACAGTGTATTTTGTATATTGATTTTGCTTTGCATGATGCCAGTAAAAAATTTAGATAGTTTAAGCTACATGTACCTTTCTTTTGTTGCTGTTAGACTTGTCTTCCATGTTTAGCATACATACATAAAATTCAATCGGACAGTTTGTGCCTGGTGCAAACTTTAACATACACTGGAGCCGCGATATAGCGCTCATCGGTATAGCGCTTATCTCAGTAGAACGCTCATATGCCTTGGCTCCCAAAAAAAAAATCGTATTTTTCGCCCATTATAATTTTTTTTCATGTATATCAATACCGCACCTTATCCACTATAACGCTTGTTCAATGTGTCAGTCGAGTGCAATAAACAGTCATAATTACGTCACTCATGATAAGAAGGTGTGAAGTCATACACAGGTAAGCGTTAATCCGCTCTTTTGTTCATTTTGAACTGTTGATCAGTCAGGTATCAAACTGTTAGCTAAGACATGCAAACACCGACGAGTTAAGTAAATCACCCAAGCATACAATTAATTTTAAAAAGCATGCACTTTCGATCTATCTGCAAAAAAGTTGTTGAGGATGACTGATTTTTTCACAAGAGACAGCAGGAAAGACGATTAATTTAGTCCCATCCACTAGGTATCAATTTTCATGACCACACATAACTCACGTTAACACCGCTGTTTTACTGGAAATTTATAAACATTCATTCGTGGTTTATATTTTTAATTCGTAAATTTCATGTTTATATTAAAGATATTCAGTAATGCTTTACAAAATAATTAATAATAATATATAAAAAAGCTTGGACTGATATCCATTGGAAGGTAAGTAAACAATCAATTCCACTAACAAGCGTTATATGTTTCGGCGGTGGGTGGGGTAATGCGATATTTTCGCTATAATTACAAAATGAGCGTTATAAAAAGTTACTCGTTACAACGCTGTCTTGAGATCATGGACCCCAACATGAGCGCTATATCGCGGCTCCAGTGTACTTGTAAATAGCTGAGCAGGGCTGTAACCTAAAATGTCACTTATTTTCTGGTATCAGTGGTTTTTCTGACTTAATTGGGAAAAGGCATTAGTCTCTTCATTTTTGGGAAAATATTGCTGAAATTTATTATTTGGGAAGTTAAAAAGTGGTGTAAGTTCAGATTTTTGGGAAAACTGCAAGCCTTTATATGCGTCTGTTATGTAAAACATTGGGTATGCAGAGTAAATGATGCTAAGTATGGAAAAAAAGTTTTTCAACTAATTTATTTTGATTTATGTTGTCGCTATGTATTTAGTAAAAATCATTTTAGTTTTTTTTTCCAAAAATTGAACAGAAATATACAACAAGAGTTCTCATTTATTATTTACAAACACTATCTAATTTGCCTTTTTGAATCAGAGCGTTCGTCGACCCCTGAACCGGTCTCAGTTCCCGAAACCTCTGAATCACACAATTTCCATCCTCGGCTCTGCCACATCAAAAAATGGCCCGATTTCCAAGGGTATGGTTTCAACTTGCATGCTGAGAAGGAGAAGAACGGACAGTACATCGGACTGATTGATGCCAACTCCCCGGCTGAGGATGCTGATTTAAGGAAAGGCGACAGAATCGTTGAAGTTAATGGAGAAAATATTGAAAGAGATACCCATCAGCAAATTATTCAGAAGATAAAAGCTGGAGGTGATGAAACAAGGCTGCTTGTGGTAGATTCAGATGCAGATGATTATTATAGGAGAAATGGAATCCAGATAAAGGCAGATATGCCTGAAGTTATTGCCTCAGAAACAAGGCAAAAAGAGGTGCCAGGTATGTTCTTGAATTTATTTTAATGGATAGGATGCAATACAAATTATGTAAGTACTGTAAGAATTGTAAGGAGTCTCATTGGTAGTTTGTACTTTACTTGCTGGAATAATGGATTTCCATAGCTTTGAATTTAGGGCTGTCTATTCAATTATTAAAGGATTCAGAGTGGCAAAATTGAGATATTAACAGTCTAGAGCTGGGTCAGAAGCCATGGATTACTCACCTAGCTCTATACTGGTGTCATATGCTGATCACTGTCATGGGGGCCACAGCAGCTTAAATGTTTAAAGAATAAGATCAGTTCAAAGAGTTAAGTCTTTTAATTGAATATTGACGATAAATTGTAAACTCTGATTAGATGGGAAAACCCAAAATATTTTTAATTCTGGAGTAAGTCTTTTGCCCTGGTGTTGTTTGATATTTCTTTTATTTTTGTGGTTTTACATAAAATTTTATTTGCTTTTGATATGCTTTGCATGATACTATTAGATTTATAGAGCTAGTGTGATGTGTTTACAATGCTCTTTCTTTACTATATATATACAACTTTGATGTATCTTTTTGATTCATATCTTCAATGACTCTATTTTAGTTTCCTAATTATGTTGAAATAGTGCCCTTATTTAAACATAATAATTTTAAGTGGCATTTGGCTGAAGTTGACATGCCAAAGGTCTTTGATGCCCAGAAGCCAGTCTCTGATTTAGAATACAAATGTAATTACCATATATATTTACCTGACGGTAATGTAATGTCAAGGTTTTGAATAGACAAAAATGACAATTATCCGGCTCCTGTCAAGCTGCATTATTGAATAATCATAAGTAGGTATGTAACACCTTTATTTAACAAGTCTTACACATTTGGTTTTCCTATCTTCTATGTTGGCCTCAGCAAATTATCTGGTCTGTTGCCCAGATGGTCCTTTGCCATTATGCCTAAAAATTGTATTGAGAGGTTCAAGCACTTAAGCTGTCATTGATAGAAATGATATTGGTGTATCATTGATATTTTCCTGTTGATCTTTATCAATAACTGATGCAGTATTGAAAGAATCAATAATTTATCAAAATACCTAGAAAAGATTAAAAATTCACCCAGCAGGTGCCCTGTCAGAATGACATGTCTAAAACTGCAATGTAATTGACATATTTCGTAGTAGTAGTGATAAAAGATGCAGAAGGTACTAAATATAAACAATGCATACCATAATTGTATTTACATGAAATCATGAAAACGGGTATAAAAGTGAAATATAGAGAAGTTATACTCTGTCGTGGATGTTTAGCATCCGATATAGATATATCATCAATATGTTTTGGACTAAGTCAATGACAGCTCTAGTGCCAAGTGACTCCAAAAATTTGTTTTGCAAGAAAAAAACAGGTGAAACAGGAAGATCTTAGGTGCCCTTCTGTAAATTATTAATGTTGTACAGGACCAAAATAGTATTTAGTTTATACAAATTTATTTTAGTTTGATTGTGTTGGAAGCTATAAGCTTATTGAAACATTCTCGAATATGTTCCTGGAACCAACCAGTACTATGCAATGAATGTAAAGTTTCTTGCTCAAGGAAAAAACGGCTTGCCCCTGACAGGGTTTAAACCCATGCGGTCAGCAATCCTTAGATTACTAGTCTGACAGGTTAACCACTGGGCCACGCCACCACTGAAATAGCATTTGTAAGGCTAAAGACACAATCAGTTGTCAAAATAAATTTGGCATGCATTACATATCACCAGATAGTTAATTGTTACTATAAAAATGAATATCTATGTTTCCATATGTGGGATGACAATTAAAAACATGGGCTAAACACTAGATGTGTCAAATTAATTGTCTTGATTGAATGTTACGAGCTAATGGATTGGTCAGTCTTCAATCATAAACATGTTGTTCTGTTTTTGGATAAGAGAAAAAAAGCTATTGTTGACATATGTAAAAGAAGTTTTGTTGTTGTTACTTCAAAAATTTATTTTGGATTATTACAAAATTGAGTTTTTAACTCGACTTTTCTATGAAAAGGGGAGCTATCCTACTCGCCCCGGCGTCGGCGTCGGCGTCGGCGTTGGCGTCACACCTTGGTTAAGTTTTTCGTACCACCCCACTTTATTTCAGAAGTATTACAAGTATGGCTTTGAAACTTACCATACTTGTTCACCATCATAACCTCCATCTACAGACAAGAGTACATAACTCTGTCAAGGTTTTTGACAGAATTATGGCCCTTTTTTGACTTAGAAAGTGTATTGAGCTTGGTTAAGTTTTTTGTACCACCTCACTTTATTTCAAAACCATTGGAGGTATTGCTTTGAAACTGACCATACTTGTTTACCATCACGACCTTCATCAACAGACAAGAGGACATAACTCTGTCAAGGTTTTTGACAGAATTATGCCCCTTTTTGACTTAGAAAATACATTGAATATGGGTAAAATCCACTTATTGCTTAACCCTTTGAGATATTGCTTTGAAACTTTTAATGCTATTTCACATCATTACCCCCATCTGTACGCAAGAGAAGGTAACTCTGTCAAGGATTTGTTTTAAAAATTAAGGCCTTTTATCGACTTAGAATCTTGGTTAAGTTTTTAGTACCAGTCCACTTTTTGACTGAACTGTTTGAGATATTAATTTGAAAGTTGGAATACTTGTTTACAATCATGATTCCCAAACATGTCCAGGAGAAGGTAATTCTGTCAAAGATTTTATTTGAATTATGGCCCTTAACTGTCAATGTTTTGTATTATAGGCAAGCACTAAAAAACTTAAAAAATCTAAAAAAATTCATTCCTATCCACTGAACCTGCAGTGTTCAAGGGTATCACACAATTCAGTAAAATAATTCTTCACTAAATATCTTAATGCTCATGGCCATTGTTCACTTTAAAAATACAGAGATTCTTGTATTGCCTTTTACTGCAAAAACTTTTTTTATTGGCAAGCAATAAAAAAGTCGAGCGCGCTGTCTTACGGACAGCTCTTGTTATTCATGCAGTCATGATTAAAAATTTGAAGGACAGATTAAGTTTCTCTAAAAGAAAGTGTAAGCATTTTGGTCTTATTAAATTTGACTTTAATTTTTACTTATCTGTTTGTCAAGAAATATATTTAGCACTCAACATATTGTTTTGATTTTTTTTAATGTTTTGTAGTTGGTTGGATGAAATGTGTTGTTTTTCTGAAAAAGTTTTTAAATATGTATGATCTAATTCTTGGTGAACATTTTTCTTAAAAAAAAAAAATGAAGAATTTATGATACAAAATAGGAGGACTTAAAGTTTATGCTGTGTCATTTAGTAATAGTCATAATGGTTGGTGGTATATAAAATTCTTTGTTTTTTTTCTCTGTCATTTGTTTTTGACGTTGTAAAGTAAGTCTAAGATGTGTATGAAGTTTGTTTTTTAATGATTCCATTATAAAGCATCCATTTGAAATTAAAATCTTTACAATTTTATTCCCAAATCTTCAAAAAGCAGTTTTGAAAGATTCTTCAGAATTTATTTATCATGTTTCTTGTTGGGTTTTCAGCAATGACCTTCCATCCAAGACAGTGTCATGTGATCAAATGGCCTGATTTCCAAGGATATGGATTTAACCTTCATGCGGAGAAAGAGCGTGGTGGACAGTATATCGGTAAAATAGATGAAAATTCACCCGCAGAAGATGCTGGCCTTAGAGAAAATGATAGGATCATTGAAGTTAATAATGCAAACATTGAAAATGAAACACATCAGCAAGTTATTGCTAGAATTAAAGCTGGAGGTGACGAGACAAAGCTACTGGTCGTTGATAAGGAGGCCGATGCTTACTACAAAAGTCGTGGAATTACTGTTACATCACAAATGCCTGAAGTAGAATTCCGGCAGACGGCAAGGCGGTCAAATGCTGGCAGTAAGTGAACAATTCTTTTTTGTTTTTAATAAAGTTTTTCAGATTAGTGTAGGAGTGGATTATTTTGCTGTTGTATTTATTTGATTGGCTAGTAGTTTGGCCATCTGGACTAAACAGAAATTGAGACTTTTTTTTCTGATAACACTGTCATTATTAAATGAAATTCCATGGTTGTAGAGCAATGTTTTGTGTAGACCAGGTGTTAGAATGGTTGTTATTAAAGTTGATAAAAGTGTGTCCGTATTTGAGTGGTCATAAGTTGTAAATAGAGGTTAGTCAGGTATGTATATAAGTGTGAGTGTAAGACCTGTTGATCAAGGTCATACAGCATTGGCATGGCTGTTTTAATTTTTGAAAGAATTGTCTTTAGCTATGAAACTTACTTGAATGTGGCATTTGGTTTTCACTATTACAATCTCAGATTGCTGTTTAAAGGAAAAAAGACATTCTTATTGAGTAGCTTTTTCATTGGTTAGACTTGTAAGAGACCCCTGTTAAAGCCTTGTAAGAGATCCTTGCTGTTAAAGGTTGAACTACAAATGAATTTCTCTGAGAAGGGAAACCTTCGTAGGGCTTCTGTGACCAGATGGTAAAAGTCATTGACTTCAAATCACTTGCCCCCTCGCTGCTTTAGGTTTGAATCCCACCAGGGACTTTGAATGTTTGAAAAGTTGGTGGTTCTACTCAGGTGCCTGCTTGTGCCTAAAATAATGCACAGAGGGGCACCTGAGGTCTTCATCAGCAATAAAGCTGGGCATTTGCCATATGACATCTACTGTGTTGGTGTGGCGAAAAATCCAACCAGAAAAATACAAACCATGATATGTTTATTGTACTAGAATCAGTATGTCACCTCCACTGTTCATTTTCAAAATTGTTTTTGATCTTTTTAATTTACAAATGAAGCCATTCAGGCTAATGTATTAGACACAGTGAATATTTTTTGGCTTCCACAAAATGCACAAAAGTAGCCCTTCCAGCATGCATTAGCAACTGTAAGGCTAGAAATAATTGAATGAATTGATAATAAAAAAACACGATTGAGTGGATTCAAACAAATTTCGTTTTCATTTATACTTAATTTATTTTAATTTCATTGTGTATGAAGTTTAAAGCCTTTAGACCACTCTTGAACATGTTCCTTGAACTAACCAGTTTTTGGCAATGATTGTGAAGTTTCTTGCTCAAGGAAACAAAGGCTTGCCTGTGATGGAATTTGAACAATCATTTAATTACCAGTGTGATATGGTCTCTACTCTTTCATGCCACCATTACTGTCTCATTGATTGTTGTGAGTACTTGCACATTTCTTTGATGGCTTCTCAATATGCGTAATAGTTATTAACAATATTACTAGTAGTAATAATATCGTTATTACTATATCTCGTTTATATGTTGTTATTTTTATTGTGTGGACAATTTCTTATTTCACCTGCAGGTATGCAGCTTTAAAACTGACATGAACTTGCTAGGGCTGAAAATCTGAAAGGTGTTCTTACATTTAGTTCTTTCACTCATGGGATTGACTTCTTGCTTGCTTTCTTAACAGAATTATTCATGTAAGAAAATATGTAAAATTGTTGTAAATACCAGTTAAAGACTTGAAAACTTATTTGTTAGCAGATATAACATAATATAGATTGATGTTAACAACGCCCGTACAATAAATTTTTGTATAATGTTTTGAGCTTTCAAAAGAAGCGAATATGATTATATACAAAAAGGGACATTTTGTAAAAAAGATGTCTTTAGTATGGTAAATAGTACAGTATTGGCTGAAAAGAGGACATAGTTTTGGTGTTAAGATAGCATCAGAGGTGAAATGTCGTAGTGGCCAGATCCATTAAATAGCCATTATCAGTGTTGATTAGGTGATTTTTACTGTGATTTAATGTTTGATCTAACTGCCAGACCATTTTATATACATGACTGAAGGTTTATAGGCCCATTTCAATGTTGACATTGTTGAAGGCTCAGAGATAATGTTGTCAAATGTAGGCAAACTTTATAGATATGGGAACAATAGATAAAACCTTTTGCTCTAAAGGTTGTGACAATAAACAGGCTTTGGTCATGCTTTGTGTGGCTATGAATAAGTTGTTAAGAAGAATCTGCCCTTAATCAGCCCTTTGTGTAATGAAAAGGTTAAAAAGTGTACATATTTAAACATTCATAATACCCTAGTTTTAGCTCAAGTATTTGAGGAATAGGGAGAGCTATTGTACTCTCCCAGGGGTCAGTGTTGGCGTCACAAGTTTCACCTTGCTCCACTAAATATTTTGAATAAACTTGTCCATCTTTCAGTCTTGGCAATTTCATTCATCATTCTTAGGGTATGTCCTGAAGGGATATGCACTGAATAAATAACAATTGACAAACAGTGCAGACCATCATTAGACTGCATTGGTTGCATTTGTTACTTAAAAAAAATTTGCCTCAGGCAGGCTTAGGGTCAAACATTATTTTTGGTTGAAGAAGGAAATTAGTGAATGCTGCATATATAACCATCCTTGTGTTACTATATCTAACTCAATTAATACTAGTTGTAATAGTTATTTGGAGCCCTGTTAGTATAATAACTGGTGACACTCGATATACTCAAGAGCCAGCCATGTCTGCACACTGCCTTATATGCAATCAGACCACAATTAAAATGTATATGCATTGGTGACCTAATTTTTGGCATGTTAGTCTTTAAAATTTCTTAAAATACAATAAGTGCTTACACAGTTCAAAATTCATGGTAGAAATTGATCAATCAAATTTGGGAGTACCTGGTGTTGGGTGTTAGGTTAGGGGTATTAAAGGGTAAAATGCAACAAAATGTAAAAAAATAACAGCAACAATGTTATATTACAATTGATAAGCAATGTCTGGATCTAAGCTACAAATTATTCGGTCATCTTTCCCTTGATTATCTATTCCTAGACATACCTTATTAAAGATAAAGATCAGCTTTAACCATCAATAATAAAGGTTTGCCTGTTATTATAGAAAATGGCTCCTGGCATATATGTTATTAAACAAGATTCCCCCAGTTATAAATCTGTCTATAACTTAAAATGCATCTGTCTATTGATTATGTAATTCAATATAGGCATTTAAGCAGAACAGATATAAAATATTGTGACTTCATTTATTCTTCTGTTTCCTAGGCATGAAAGTTTTTGCTTGATTATTCAAGTTTGCCATATTTTAGCAATGGAGGTTCTTGTCAGAACAGACAAAATATTTGCATATTTTTATCTGCCCTACATACTTTAAGATCTTGAATTTGTTATCTTATATGCACAGGGTTCTCAAGTAAAGTTTTGTTATGTCTATATTGATGTAAGAAAATTTGTATATTCTAATGATTTTCTGTCAGTGTTGATACTAATCATGTTTGATTTAATATTTGGCCTCCCAATTGATATAGACCTCTTGTGGTAGAATAAATTGATAAAACTTCTCTCCTTGCCTATTTCAAGCCAATCCTTTAAAGATTATTTATTTAGGATTGGATGGATATGGGGAGATGATTCTGCTCTTTGGTATCTGAACATTAATTTAAGTTGCATGCTGCATTGGCAATAAATATCCTGAAAACATTCAAAATGAAACTTCTCATTTTTTGGACCATATCTGTAGATCACTGAGCAAGACTTGTAATGTAACCATAATTGTGGACTTCATGCATACTTCATCCCCTGTATGCAAACTTCCATCATCTGTATGCAAACATCATCACCTGCATGCAAACTTTATCTCCTGTATGTAAACTTCATCCCCTGTATGCAAACTTCAATTCCTGTATGCATACATTATCCCCTGTATGCATACATTATTGCATGTATGCAAAAAACATGGCCTGTATGCAAACTTTATCTCCTGTATAAATACCTTATCTCTCATATGCAAACTTCATCCCCTGTATGCAAACGTCATCCCCCATATGCAAACTTCATCCACTGAATGCAAACTTTATCTCTTGATTCATACATCATTCCCTGTATGCATATATCATCCCCTGTATGCAAACTCCATCCACTGTATGCAAACTTGATCCCCTGTATGCATATATCATCCCCTATATGCAAACTTCCATCATCTGTATGCAAACATCATCACCTGTATGCAAACTTTATCTCCTGTATGCATACTTCATCCTCTGTATGTAAACTTCATCCCCTGTATGCAAACTTCAATTCCTGTATGCATACATTATCCCCTGTATGCATACATTATTGCATGTATGCAAAAAACATGGCCTGTATGCAAACTTTATCTCCTGTATAAATACCTTATCTCCCATATGCAAACTTCATCCCCTGTATGCAAACTTCATCCCCTGTATGCAAACTCCATCCACTGTATGCAAACTTGATCCCCTGTATGCATATATCATCCCCTGTATGCAAACTCCATCCACTGTATGCAAACTTTATTTTCTGTATGCATACATCATCCCCTGTATGCAATTTCATCCACTGTATGCAAACTTCTTTTGTAAACTTCATCTGCTGTATGCAAACTTTATTCACTGTATGCATACATCATCCCTTGTATGCATACATCATCCCTTGTATGCATATATCATCCCTTGTATGCATACATCATCCTTTGTATGCATACATCAGCCTGTGTATGCATACATTATCCCTTGTATGCATACATCATCCCTTGTATGCATACATCACCCCTTGTATGCATACATCATCCACTGTCTCCTGTATGCAAACTTCATCCCCTGTATTCAAACTTCATCTTCACAACCACTGAAGTTTTCACAAATGAAGTCCCATAACTCTTGCACAGATTTTTGTACAGAAATTTGCAAATAATAAACACCTTTGTCATTCCAAATTTTTTCACCAGAGTTGTCTAGGATTCTTCAGTAAGTTTAGTAAACAAATTTTATCAAAATGATTGATGTCTCAGACAATTTATGATGCAGTTGCCATGAGCAGATATGTTGTATAAATCTGGTGAAAAAAAGTACTTTCCTTTCCAGACCAGTA